AACTTAAATCAAAGTATGAGTGAAATACAGTGATTTTCTTCTAATGACCAAAAAGCCCGTGCTGCATGTTGTTAGTTTAGTCTTTATCGTGGCATTTATATTTATACAAGCCAGCTAATGCTGAATTTTTATATCAGTTTCCAAGTTGTTTAGTAATTATTTCTGATTGTTTCCTATGGCTCACCCTCACTGGCTCATGGTCTACCCCATGTCACCCCATTTTAGAAAATCATGGAAACACCCGTGTTCATTCCTTTGTACCACTTTTTTTTTAACTGCTTCCACCTCATGATATATAGCAAAAGCATGCTCCCACCTATCTAGATCTGTGTGCTCAAAAACATTTTAGTAATAAAATGCTACAAAATCTTCTCAACAACAATCTGAACTTTCAATCTGGCAGCTACAGTGCGGTTACATCACTTCAGATCTCTCAGTGGCTCGATGATATAATCACTGTGTACTGCCCAAGTCTTCTGACTCACACTGATTAAAGCAAGGCATAACAAGAAAAGAGAGGTCTAACTGCTTCTGTCAATCTTCATCATAGCAGCTCCCAGAGTTTATGGTAACCCAGTGCTACATCCACACAGAAAACAAGTAAATGACATTGAAACACAATCTTTAAAAAAAAAAACCCAAGTGCATTACTGTCAATACAAATAAAAACCAGCGCGCACAAGTATTTTTGTACATAGCGTGCTCTCTCGCTGTCTGTTTCTCACCCAAGCCGATGTGATGCAATGCAAGCAGCTAAGCAAGGTAGCCTTTCATGTTCTTCATCCTTGAATCCTTTTTAAGTCTATTGTGGATACATTTTGAAGATCAAAAGGCAGCGATATTCAATTCAGATCAAAATAAAACTACTTTTTCTTGGTTCCTACATTGCTCAGAAACTTACTCGAGTTCAATTACATTTCAGGCCAAAGGAGTGAGATGGGGGAAGTGACGCTTGCTGACATACTGCTGTGGTCACAGACATTTAAGAACGACCTAGATTTGGCTTGCTTTAAGGAAGCTTCATGGAAAAAAACAACAACACAGAAGCATGAATATTTAGATGAATGAAAGTAGGCCTCTCTCTGTAAATCCTATTTCCAGGATGCACTGCATTTTGGTGAATATTTACCCTAGTACATGTTGGGGACATTTGGAAGATTGCATTTTTGTGTTTAAATTAATATTTCGAATGCTGTAGAGTCCCCTATAGAGTTAGGAAAGCCAATATGCTTTCTCAGTAATTCACACTTGAGGTGCTTCTAGAGCTACAAATTGCTCCTTTCTTTGCTACCATAACCCAGCTCAATACAAATTACTATTTTGTGGTTGCAATTACCCACACAGCACTATATATATATATGTTTTTTCCCCATTTATGCAGGCTGTGTATGACAAATACAAAACTGTGCAACACATACTAATACAGATACACTGTAATCAATAAATTATGCATATGCTGGGGGTTTTATACAAAGGACCACCTGCACCAAAGACTTGAGAATGGAGGTGTGTTGTATGCACTAATTGCCTCTTCAGCTGAGCAGCACTAAATTTAATCAGACCACAAACTTTAATGCCTTACTCCCCAGTGGCACGTAATGGACTCAGTAATGCAATGAAATCCTTATCTCTCCCTGCTAGGACCCCATATGTATCAGGCTTAATGGCGTGGAGGCAACACAGAACGGGTCTGACCAATGTAATGGCCTTTGTGGTAGCCTCTGCTGGTTTGCTAATGAGACCCCCGCATTCAAAAGGGGCCAAAAAGTCCAAGCCATTAGCGAAGAGTTACACTCGACCGGGATGATTCGCAACGTTCAAGCCTCACTGCTGCCTTTCTCTTGCGGTGAAATGTGGCACCGAGATTAAGAAACACAATTTAGAACGCCCTCGTTCCGCGTTCTCTTAAGCTCGTTGGTGCATGTGTGGCTGAAGCTCCGGTTTATCGCTTGGCTTCTTTGATATGACAAATCTCTGATCACGACGCTAAAATATGAAAGCGTGGCGGAAAAAAACAGTGTTCATGCTGATGACAGCCAAAGGTCCGCTCTTGAGGCTTAGGCTTTTCTGCTTAGAAGTGATGTTAGAGTCTCTGCTAATTCCTTTTTAACAAATAACTGCTGTGATTAGTTTGCAGCCCTGGGGCTTAAGGTTGCAGCATTACTCCTGTTGCACCTCAGTGACAGAAATAACATGAATTTACGGTACTTGAATAATCCGAATCATTGTCTGTAGGAGCTCAAATTTCACAAACATCAAACTGGCTCCCAATTAAATGATTTTTAATCACACCACACCCCTTTTTGGATCTTTTTGTTATCATCAGCAGCAAATCCTTGTGTTTTGGTGTATTATTTACTTTATCAGAGCCCCTCATTCTTGTATCATTACTGTGTTCTCTGACACAGATTGAAGTGTCCAACTTAATCTAAGAGGAAAATGCTGCAATGCCTGTTGAGATGCTATCTTACATCTTTCCTGCACTGCAGAGAAAACTGCTTGCAAGAGTATCTCATTATAAGCTTGCTGCATGTAAACAAGCAGGGAAATGTCTTGAGAGCGCAATTTTGCGAGAAAGCGCTACAGTTGCTAGCAAAAGCTTAATTTAGTTGTTTTGTTGTTTAGTGATTAAAGCTGTGTTGTGTTGCTTCATTTTACTTGACTGGAACTGTGTCCATATGTGGTCCCTTAAATTTAATTTCCCTCTGTATGCACGGCACACCTGAAAATGTAATCCCCACTATCTGATCCTGACTAAAACCTTAATAAAGGTTAAATTGCTCTCTCGTCCTCCCTTTCCTTGCACCACCACTCTTGACTTTTTCTAAGAACAAACAGACCATGAGAGTTTAAAGGAAAACCAATAACTAAGAACCATTAGAGGACTCTGTTGATGTAAATAGCCAGCATACTCAAGAGGCACAATATGGATCTGATCCAGGAAAAGACAATGAAAACAAAAGCCATTTCACTCAAAAGAAATTACATCAGAGGATGAAAAACCATCCTGTATGCAGCTATTTGCTTTCAGATATTCTTAATGCAGTTTTTATTATGTAGTTTATTTTTGTTTTTTTGAGAAAATGTTTATTTTAGGGCAGATTGCTGGATTTATTCTGTTTTGATGTGTTTTGTCAGGGAAGGTGAAATCAACCAACCACAGTTACTACAGTTACCTCAGGATGTGAGCTAAACTGGCGTTTTTCATTTCCGACATGTCCGTGTGGCGTGATGTTGACCATCGAGATTTCAGAAGTGTTCCCTGGACACTGCTCTCCTTTATCAGTCCATATTAATCTCACAGTTAACCCCAGAAGCAAACCTGCAAAAGAATTACAAGCAGCAAAAACTGTTATTAAAGGGGTAATTCACTAATATATTACACTAAAAACAAAAACTTTGGGTTCTGGAAAAGAATGAAAGTGCAATGTGCCACATGTTGACATAAATGTGTACATTTTAAAACTATTTCCATGCATCAAGTATAGGTCAACTGATTGCTTGTTACACCTGCATATCAGGAGTCAACTAAAGATGCTGTGTTCTCGTATAAAATGATGAATAAAGCAAAATGAGATGCCGGTGTCCAAAACTGCATGCCTATGAAACCCCAGAAATGTCTTCTATAAACATTTTCGATACATCCTTCAAGCCCCGAGTCCAGGAAGTATTGCTGAATAACGGCTTCCGTAGTCTGTAAATATTTAGGCTACTTACCATAAAACATTGCAACCCCAGCTTCATTTACCAATTTATATTTGAACTGCTTTAATTTCCACACACTGAGGATAGTTATGAGTGCCAGAGTGACAGCAGCGAACACCGGTAACGCTACAATATCTTGTTTTTGCTGCACAGCGCCCGACATCATCAAAAGCCTGGGTCAAACTTTTCGGAAAGAACTCTGCTACTTTTTTTTGGCTCAGACACAGCAACATCCGCATCAGCAGCGCCCCGAGAGCCCGTGCTGCCTTCAGTAATACTTGGAATTTGCAGTTTTTTCGTGCGAAGGCTTGGAGGGGGAAAAAGCACCATATTTTTAATTGAAAAAAAGAAAGATAAGATAATGTAGAGCAATAAAAATGTGTTGGTATGTTGTTGTTGTTGTTGTTTTTATATAAATGACGAAATACAGAGCTGCTTTATGCTTCGTCATTAATGCAACACAAATGTAGGCCGATGAAATCAGATACAATCAAAGAAAAGTTAAGCACACGCAAGAACTGGACATTCAGAGAGAGATATATTAAATCCTTTATCGCGTGGGAAAAGAATACGTGTCACAGTTACTTACCTGTTCTGCTGACATTATGTTTTTGCAAAGCAATAAAAAATATTGACGGTGTTTTCGTAAGCCACAGAAAATAACACACGTTGGGTGTCATCCTCCTATTTTCCAGCAGATGGCAGACAATGCAAACATATGAAAGCGTGATTCTCAGCTGCTGCGATATTTGATCGTACTGTTTATCGTTCTTTATCAGTAAGTGAATCATTCATAGTCAGAAATTAACAGAGAATAAAAAAAAATAAGTGGTTTATGAATTAGTCTTTATTTTAGGCCACATTGACTGAGCACGACATCTTTTACCTGCAGTGTATTGTCTTTATTTTATTTTATTGTGCTTTTGTTGACTGAAAAAACTGAAAAAAGTATATCAATTAGGCCTTGTATGAGTTTACTTTAACTATGCAGCCGTTTATATTAGCAGTATGGTTTCTTTTACTTACCACCTCTAGCATCTTTCTTCCCTTCTCACATTAAACTAAACGATACAACAATCTAAAATGAACATTAATTTCAGGTAATGTTACAAATTCCTTAAAAGGCTGGTGTTAGCCTAATTGGAGCGACACGAAAGGGAAAAAAATAGAAATTATGGTAAAGTTTGCACTGGGGGCGGCATTCCAGACAAGACAATATTAGAATAATCGCTTAGCAACCGTGCCCGTAAACAGAGAACGGTTGTCGTAAAGAGTAAAGAGGCTGGTGTTGAAAAGAGTCGAAACAGAACCCATTGTGGTGTTGGAGAGGAGTGAGCAGCTGCCTGAGAGAACAAGAAAAGAGGCAATACCGTGACCGCGGACGGGACTCGCAACACGCGGACAGATATGGACGTTAATTCACCGCACGGACGCTGTTGTCCTTTGTAAAGAGGAGTCCGTCGTCCAGTCGGAAACATCCGGTAAACGAAGAGTTAAGGACTCGACAGCTCAACTGTTTATTTCAGCGGCTAGCAGGCTAGCTGGCTAGATACCTAAGAGCTAGAAATGGGAAGCCCGTTTGAGTGTGCTTGATAGAGATCTTCGTCGAGCTTTGAAGAAGCAGCTTTCGGCTGAGATACAATCGCCGGTGTTTTAAAGTCCCCTCTCGTCCGCCTCGTAAGTAGCCGCAACTTTGAAGAATGATATCAGCTGAGCGCTAACCATTTCACTACTACAAAGCCGGAGAGGGGGGAAAAGTCACAGGTTTGTTTCACAGTTGTTTCTTCTCTTTGCAGTCCGTGCTGCCTTTCAACTCTTTTTCTTTTTCTTTTTTCTTTTGTTTTTTATTTAAAGCGAGAGCAGGTAAATTGTGCATCACAGAAGTCGCTCACACGTCTATTTTTGAGCAGTTCGATAAAGGAAAAAAAGATCCATAAACGCAATAAAACCTCAATGTTTTTTTTTTTTTTTATATATATATATACCAGTAAGAGGATGCGTAACAGTTCGAGTGTCCGCCGTGTGACCTTAGATCAAGCAAAAATAATTAAAGCAAAAAAGGACAAAAAACCTCAGCGCTTTTTAAAAACAAACTCTTATCAGATGCCCACATCCACTGTGCGGTGACAAGAAGCATATTATTACCACTATTACTGCTGGAGGTGTCATTTTAGTTGCAGCGGAACAGTCTAAGCATAGGTGGTTAGTATGTTTCCCTCTAATTACACGCTGTTTTTAATCTTTTCGTTATTTGCCTTGCATTAGAGAATATGGCAAGACTCCTATGCACAATTTGATGTAGAATCAAAAAAAGGGGGGAAAATGGATGAGAATGGATACACTGCAGAGTGAAGAAAATGTGCTGCCCCAGAACTCTATTTGTATGCAGATCATACTAAATTACAGCAACAACGCTGGTGTCCAGGAGGTATCATGCTTGCCGGAGGCGCTATTAACGTTTTAGTATTTATTTAACAAAACATTGCCGCCCCCCGATTCTCACCCCTTAATTTCCCACTGTAGTTTCAAGCTATTTAAAACACTTCATCTCAACAGGTTTGCTTTGGATTCGCCTTCCTTTTGGCAAAAACACAACAGGTTGAGGCTGTTTCTTTTTCTCCATCAAGCCTAAAAGCACCTAAAATATAAGCTTAACTTTGAGAGGATTTAAAAAACAAAAAAACGAATGAATAGATCTGACCATGAGATTTCTGTGGCATAGTAATAATTGCACTTTCTTTGAAAACTGCTGCCCTTGATTCCTTCAAAGGAGAAAAAGATTAGCACAAGAGTTTTAGTGTTTGGTTCCACACAAAGCTCATAATAAGTCCTATGGAATTTCTCTTTACAGTCTAATGAATAGGACGGGCTGCTTAGAATTAATTTTTCTATATCGGGAGACTAATTGCGGAGCCTTTCTGCTAGGTTAGTTGACGAGGGAACTATGAAAATAGCCTGATACACTTAAGGCGTTCTGCTGGTGGTTGATTTGAATGTTTCTGAGTGCTCGGCAGGGGAACGTCTCATAATTGCAGCCTAAAAGCTCCCACAGCAGCAGTATATTTTTGTTTTTGACCTCCAGACTTGCCAAATCAGTCTCAGATAAAGTTGTAGAGCAGACGGAGAAACAGACAAAGGTGGGAGAACGAATGTCTTTAAGGTAATCGATTTCATTTCCTCCCCATCCAAACGCATTTTCCGATTGTTTAAACTGCAGCTCGCTTTGACAGCTTGTTTTAATCATTTCACTCGGCTGACATGTTTGCCTTGCAGTAGCATTAACATGGGATTCAGATCCATGCCAACTCCTCAAACTTTTCCAGAGAGATCATGGGTTGTGCAACCGTGCAGCTGTTTAAATTAAACAGAAAAGGGAGAAGCTGTTTTCAGTTGGGGAATCCAGAGTAGGTCTTCGCAGTGTGTTCTTAACAGCTGCGTCATTTTGGCGCAAAGCAGATACTATTGATATTCTCATTAAAACCCCTCTCGTGTTTGGTTTGGGCCAGAGATGAATGGACTAATGTTCATTGTGGGGATGCTGCTAATTGGTACTTATAATCCGAGGACTCAATTTTCCATTAGGCGTGCGAATGTTACTGTCATTTGTATCTATCCATCACTGTCTATGTGTTTGCTGTACTGAGGCAACCCGGCTGCGGCTGAATGTTTTTGTGATCAAACATTATTGACTCCCACGGTCGATAATCCTGGCAACAGTAGTTCCTCTCTCCAGCTAGAACCACACATTGCAAAGCAAGTGAGGTGGCGGTGGTGGCGGCAGCGGTGGTGGTGAAGGGCAGAGGTGGCTTTTTCCCCCCCCTCCAGCTTTGAGGATTCGGGGGTAATGCCAGCGGTCCTGCAGGTAGACGCTCTCGCGTGTGTGTTTGTTTGTGTGCATCCATTCAGAGATGGAGAAGTGCTGCTCTGTATTCAAGTGATCTATTTCCAGTCATTTCAATCACAAGAGCAATAACTCAAAGCTTCTCTTTTCTTGCTGGCCGCTAGTTATACATCAGTTATCTTTTTTTTTCTCTCTCTCTATTTTACCGACTTCTCCACTGTATTTCAGTCCTTTTCCCCACTTCCCACCGTGCACTCTCTTTTGCATTTCCATTGGAATTAATCAAGCATGTTCTTGTGTGGCTTGACTTCATTATATCATAATGAAGTTTAGCCTCAGGTGGAGTCAAGAAATGGGTTAGCCGGAGAGTAGCCTTGCCCTTGCACACCATTATCTGAAGCTGGTTCTTACACAATGAGCTGTAGGAAAGATTATTCAAGAAAGAAATTTCCTTTTCAATCCCCTCCTCTTTATCTGAGTTTTTCTTTTAAAATCTAAGTTTAATAAAAGTTGAAATATTAGAATATTACCATGTCATCTTCCTCTGTCTCAACCTTTGTCATTCTGTTTTAAGCCAACATGGGGCCTATTGCTTCATCTTGTGCCTTTTCAGTCCCAGTAATGAGCCATTTTGCGGCTCTTAACATCTGCCAAACTTGGAACATTTTGAATGCGAGACTCATCTTCCATGCATGAGGAGTCAGGCATCCTTTGATTTGCCCTCTTTTCTTTGCTTCTCTTTCGAAGCGCTCACCGCTATACTTTGTAGACTGAGTATGCTGAAAAACTTTCTTAGCCCACTTTTGGCAGCGGCCCTGTATCATGAGAAGTAATTTGGTGCTTATTCTAAACAGAGTTTTTTCCCCCTCCTCTTGGTATTCTACATCCCTCCCATCTTTTGAAGAGGCACTGTGACGGTTGTCTGGTAGGAAAGGGGGGGGGTAATTTGAAACAGTTTTCTGTGGGCACAGTGAGGTTTGCCCCAAAGAAAACACTGCTTTAAATTTCAATGCCCTTCAATAAAAACATCTGGCTTTAATTTAGAACTTTAAGTGAACTTTACCCTCAGCAAGAACCTGAGTAGGCAACCTTGCCATAGAGCCCTATGCAGTCTGCCTTTCTCTCTCGCCACGTTCTCTTAAATAACTCCCATCATACCGCAATAGTCAGTGAGGGAGTTAAATAAATGGTTTTGCAGGTGTAAAATTCACGAGGAAGCAGTCTAGTGGGGTAATTACCAGGGAAAGAGATCCCCATCTTAAATGGCCATGTCATTCTCCCAATAAAGCTGAATGTTTTCATCTTATTCCCACTATTACTGTGCTTGTAACAGCAGCAGGTTATAAAAAAAACCTCAAATCCACTAGCATTTCAAACTGCACCCGCTCATGCGCCATGCTAATCGTGGCACGCTATAAACTCATAGATGGCCAATTTGTGTGTTTCATTGACAATAATTTGAGCGTTAAAGTTGTCTTTCATTAAGAGGAAGAAAATGATCCTTTCGCATTGTGTGATTACTAACATAATGCAGGTAATGCTCCATATGTAATTGTGGTCTAACGCTTTTTCTGGCAAGGAATACGAAGCTATGTATTCTCTTCATGCCGGCTGCCAGCTTGTGCTTCTCATTACTCGGCGCTGTCCAGGTCTTGTTCAGGGTTTGTTTAAGCTTGCCCCGGCTCTCTGTTTCTTTCTCTCACGGATGAAGAGGTGAAACACTTCTTGGCCTCGCTGAGGTTATGGTTCGTCCTCTCTGAGCCCTTAGCTCATCCTAGATAAATTTCATATCTGCTCCCAAGATCTTGCAGTCACGTCAGTGTCGTGGCTGCCTGTGTCAGATGCTAAATGGCACTTGAATCGAGATTTTATAACAACGGGAAATTCGGTTTTCCCCTCAAGCAATCAGCTTTCTCTCACTCCCTGTAGTAAAAGGCACAGACATGTATCCTTTTGAATCCTTTTGTCTAAGGCAGCCCAGTGTGTGCCTACTTTACTTATGTATTTATCCCCCCCTATTCAGAGAGCTAATTTCAAATGCTGTCTAGAAATAAATTGGAGGAAAAAAAAACAGTTTTTATTCTGCTTTTTCCCCCCCCGCTTCTGAGTTATCTTGAGATGAGATAATGTGAGAATCAGTAGCACTTGCAATATATTCACAAAGTGCTCTCTAGATGATTCCAGCCAAATATTACCATCATTAAGGATGCACCATTTGTTAATTTGAGGCCAATAGTAAGTCTAATGTTTAAAATAACAATTTAGCCAAAGGCCACTTCAGATACAGATGTTTTGTCATTGTGTGTCTCTGTAGCTATACATTATCCCTTTTGTGCCAGGCAATGACGGCTTTCCTGCTTTTTATTTCACAAGAGTCCAGCTTCAATAATACGAGTTAATGAAAAGCTGAATAAGACACACAGTGAAAGTGGTCGATATTGTCTGATAAATCAGTGCATCTCCAACTTTCAGTGTAATGTGTTGTAATAGATGAATTTTTTTTTTTTAAAATGCCGTCTTAGGACTTAAAATCATTGCATTTTAAGCTTGATTGAAAGGTTTTTACCCATGTAGAAAATGCGGCTGTAAAGTTTCTCAGTAACTCATTATCTCACTCTTTATTTATGTCAGGAAAAAAAAATCATATCCTTATTGCTGTGTTGAGTCACATTGCGTGTGGTGTGGCAAGAATGGGGGGGGGGGAAAAATGCTCGAATAACATTTTTCTTTGCCTTTTACAAACATGCAGTGTGGCACTCTGTAGTTCCCTATTTGGATATGGTCTATTTTTACATTAGGCAACTTGGCCTGATCAGCTCGAGGTATTTCCAGACAGAGGTGTGGGGTAAAAGCTTCTCCATTCGGCTCTTATTTGGCGTGCTGCAGGCCCACGTTTCTCACAGCCGCCGCTTTCTTGGTTGCTTTTAGCCAGCGTGTCCTACCAGAATCCCCGCCTCTTCGATCTAAAAGCAAGGGAACCCATCGACACACAAACTAATCACACTGCTGTGCCTGCTCGTTAGCCATGCCCTCTCAAGTCAGCTGTCCTAATAGGCATGCCCTAATGAGCTCTAATTGAGGATGGCTAATTTGCATGGTCTGAGTCATTGTATTTCTTAAAGCGACTTAAAATACTTACTGCCTAAAAGCTGGATTGGGGGTGGGGGGGTCTAACATGGTTTCATCGTGGACAGATTTTAGTGGGGCTTGTAGGGTTTTTCTAAGTGCTTTGTTCTCTCACTGTGATCCCAGATTTTTTTCTTCTTCAGATAGGGCTTGCCATCCTGCTTCTTGGCTAAAATTAATAATCTCAGTAGAAATATTCAGATTCATTTTTTCCCCCTCTCGACCAGAAACGTTATTTTAGCGACAGCAGCCATTTTCAAAGAAACAGCATCAAAGCATGATTAAAACGAAGCAGGGCAGCTCTGATCAAAGGTTAAACTTTGCACGGTGTGACTCTCATCACAATGCAAACTGAGATTCCTCCATCTGAAGCAAGAGAAACAAAATCAAGATTCCTGAGCTTAGAAGTAACCGTTGAGGTATTCAGATGGCAAGTTATTCTGCAGTACATCTTAGAAAAAGTGATGGATATTTTTATTGGTGCAGAGGGAGGGCCCACTGAGGGACTCTTCCTCTGAATGCAGGACATTTTATTTTAATACTTGCGGACGATGTTTTACATTTCCCCTTAATTTGATCACTGACACTTTATTTTCCCTTTTTATTTATTTTTCTTATACTTTGAGTATACAAGAAATGATTTCCCAAAGAGAACGCACTCAAACAGGCACAGGCAGGTTTATTGCATTGGCTGTGGGCCATCTCATTTCTGCTCAAAAAGTAATGAAATCTCTCAAATGACCCAAGCAATTCAAATTTGTGCGACTATTTCATATTCCAGAGAAGCTGCGTTTTGTTTTACAAGGTGGGATCACATGTAAGGATTTATGGTGAGAAGGAAATTAAATCAACCTTTTTCCACTGTTACTTAAGGCAAGACGCTGGATTTTTGGTATTATAAGTTGTAGCCTTTATATTTTCCCTCATGTAATGATTTTTTTCTCTTTGTCTGCTTGATTTCAGAACTGCTGGCCCAAGTTTACATACAAACTGCAGAGAGAACATGACGCACTGGCCACTGCCAAAGTCTGGCACAGTGCAGCTGTGCCAACCTCGCCCCTGTCTGCCGCTTTAGAAGGTTCCCCTTTGCACCATGACGGAGAGGCATTGAGGTTAGCTCCCTGACGATCATCTCAATACCTCTCCTCCTCCTCCTCCTCCTCTTCCCCTGTCCCTCAACACCCCACTCCTGACCCATCCACATCATGCTGCGCTTCCTGCCTCTCAAACTTGGCCGCCTGTACCGCTGTCTAAAGCTCCTGTTGGTGGTGGGATTGTTTGTCATCTTGTTGATGAACACCCACAACCTGTTCGCGTCCTTCCAGAAGAATGAGCTCACAGACAGACGATTCATCAATCTCAACAAGTGTCCCGCCTGCTTTGGCACCAGCTGGTGCCGCAAGTTCATGAACGGCCAGGTTTCCTTTGAGACCTGGGGTCGCCTGCGGTTTCTAGACGTTTTCAATGTCAAGAATGTTTACTTCGCGCAGTACGGAGAGCCCAGGGAGGGCACTCGTCGCGTGGTGCTCAAACGGCTCGGCTCCAACCAGGAGTTGGCCGAGATAGACCAGAAAATCTGCAAGAGGGCCACAGGCAGGCCGCGATGTGACCTCATCCAGGCAATGTACAAGACTGAATTTGCCCGGATCAACGGCGATGTTCGACTGCTTACTCCAGATGTGGTAGAGGGCTGGTCAGACTTGGTGCACTGCCCCTCTCAGAGACTGCTGGACCGTGTGGTCCGCAGGTACGCCGAAACCAAGGACTCTGGCAGCTTCCTGCTAAAGAACCTCAAGGACACGGAAAGAATGCAGCTGCTCATGACGCTGGCATTTAACCCGGAACCACTCGTATTGCAGGTACTGTGTCTACATTTGAACTTCTTAAAATCTGGATGTTTACAGGGTATAAAGCAGTCTTAGAGCTGATAGGGTTGTTGTTTTTTTGTTTTGGTTTTAAATCATGCTTGACAAATACATGCTTCGAGGAAAATGTTGCATCTGGATAAAGATACACGGATCATCTGACAAAGACCTCTTTGTCAGATGATCCGTGGCGGCAGCTGGTTTCAGAGCAGATGATAAAATGCGGCTCCTGGATTACTCCCGGAGATTCAGAATATCAGTGCAACAGCGTGTTGGCCCACAAAGCCCCCACTAAATTACAGGGCGGGAATCCTTTTCCTTCCTCTTGCCTAGATCTGAGACAGGCTATCAAGTCCTCCCTAAACTCAGGGCTACTTCAAGACTGCATGCTGGCTATTTGGAGCAAGAATATTCTTCTGCTTAGAATGGAGAAGGGTTTAAGAGCTGTGGCCTCTGAGAGGGGAAAAAGGCGATTTTTGGCTGGCGGCAGTGCTGCATATTTAACACCATATGTAGGGCAGTTTTAAATTATTCAAGGATGCATCTGTAAATGGTCCAAGTTGTTTTTAATTTTAATATAAGTCTATGTCCACTGGATTGTCTTCATTTGTGTGTGACTGGAACGGAGCAGTCTCTGCAGGGCTGCTAAACTGTATCAGTGCCAGTATTCTTGATCCTTAATTTGTCCTGCAAAATATTTTTTAACTTGTTTTTTTTCTGTGTGAATTTCAGTGTTGCTATAAGAAAAAACAGTTTTAAGAAATTGTCTTACTTTATGATATATGACTTTTTTTTTTTAAAAGAAGATTTTGGGATATGTACTGTTTAGTTTTGATGAAAATGCAACAGGACGCTTTGTTGTCCGGTACAGGGAAGATTAGAACATTCTTGATTTTGACGCATTTTAACCAAACAAACGGTTCATCTTGCTGAAATGAAAAGGATGCTTTAAAAAAAAAAAAAGTTTAACGTCTAGCTTTGACACGAGGTTAGGAGAAAAACCCTGACCCACCTTTATTCAGTCATCCTGATGTCAAAGCAGGCGTATTCCTCTGCATCCGCATCCTTTTCACCGGCTGATTAACAGGCGGCCAATCAATTCCAATTTCTGTTTGGCATTGAGGGTCTCACGAGGGGACAGAACAACAATGGTCTTGGCCCGTGTAGACATTCAATAACTTGTTTTGACCTCCACCACTAGCTACCCCCCCTCCCTGCCTCACTGTCCCCCACATGTGTTACTGGACACCTCCAGGCATTTCAGAGGACAAAAGGCGGGATCAGCTTTTTAGTCTGGTCAATCTATAAAATCTGATTAGCTTTGTGCGGTCGCTCAACCCTCCCCCTCGCTTCCTTTCTCCCCTATTCTCACAACATCCCTTTTTTTCCTCTCTATGGCTTCCTCCCCTACTTTTTCATCACACGTGTGCAGACAATTCCATCACTTCAGTTATATTTCATTTCAGAGTCATAGGGAATCACCCCTCCCACCACCACGGCCTTAGTCTTATCTTGGACACACAGTTTAAGACATCACGCACAAACACATCATGCACTCACATTGTCCACAACTCCTTCCACTTCCCGCTCCGTGGAGACTTTACATGTTTACAAGGACTCATGAATTGTTGATCTCACCCTGAACTTGTGACCTGTGGGTAAAAGAAGGAACCGTTGGGTCTCTGCTCGCGCAAGGCCGCAGGATAGCAGATGGCGCGCGCGGACTGCCAGGATAGATAACGCACAAAGAAATGTGCGAGACCTCTCAGAGACTCGCAGATCCTGAGTACTTTGACTGTTCGTCAGCATCACTAACCTCAAAAGAAGAGAAAATTTGCTGTGAGACTGAAAGGGCCCTATGCACAAGGTTGGGCAGCAGCAGACCATAAAGAATTAATAGCGTCTATAGAGATTGAATAGGAGACGTGCTGTACTACAACACCTTGGTCTACCTATTTTTTTCTTTATTTTTTGCTAGAGGTTTGAGCTGCTGTGTGGGGACAGGCTTTAACAGAAGATATAGAGGAATGTGGGCCGAGTTTTATGACTCGTTATTTAATCTAACCCGGGCCTTTTTTCAACAATTTATCACTCTGCCTTCTTGTCAGGTCATGAGTGGCGCTTTATTTTGCTTGGTTGTAGTTAAACACCTCTCCAGTAGGTTGAATAAAGGAAAAACTCACTCATTTTATAATTCAACTTTGCTATATTTAGCATAAATAATTTCCTTTTGTCATCAGCTAGCAGTGTTGTGGTTTAGGGATTTTTTTTTTTTCCATTTTTATTTCTTTTTCCTTTCTCCCTCCTATGGCTTTATACAGTTGAATAATGCGAATAACATTTCTGCTGTCTGCTCGGCGAGCTGCACTCTCTCTTAGAAAGGCTTCTGTTTCCAGTCTTTTGAAGCCACAGGCAGTAAATCGGCCCTGATTCACTATGAGAAACCAGACCTTCTTTGTCAGTGGGAAACAATCTGCTGTGTTGTTTTGGGTCTGGCCAACAATGTGTTTTCTGTGTTCTCGGTGTCTATGAGTGCACACTTGTGTGCTGCACGCACACACACCACCCCCACTTTTCTGTCACGTGGAAGACAATTTGGCTTTGGGGAATAAATATTTTTGGAAGACAAAAATGACGACAGCCAAACAAGGAAAAATCCTTGTGCAATGAGAGTCGTCTTATCCAGTTTCATCCGTTTTCCCCTCATTTCCTCTTAGCGGTGCAGTTTAAGTTACACTGGAAAGGTTTCTCTTTTACTTTGATAAATCTGCTTGTTCAAGGGGTTGTCTCTTTGCCAAGCGGCGGAATTACATGATGCTGTTTAATTTTTACCTCTTATTCAACAATAACTCGGTTTGCATGAGACGCGAGTAATTCATTTTCTCATTTCCATGGCTCGAATCTTACTTGCCATCCTTGCCGTCTCTCCTGCGGCTAGATCACTCACCGATTCATCAGGTGATGGTTGTGTTTGATGGATTACATCTGGCCCAACCTTAAATTAGTACAATTTAGCCTAGTCCTCGCTTCCAAATCATTAAGCTTAGCGAGTTTGCCAGAAGCATGTGACTGTACTCGCACCCTTTTTGGTCCTCAGCCCTGTCTTGCTCAGTGGAGCTGAGAATAGGAAGTGACAGGCCTGTGGGGTTAACTCAGTCAGCGGCGCTCTCATCTCCTCTAAACTCAAATCTGTGCACTCCCAGACACCCCACCTCTCAGCTCTCTCTGCCTCTTTTTCTATTACAGTCTCTCCCCACCTTTTGCAGATCCACCAACTCATTCAACACTCTGGCCCCACCTGACAAGGAGACACGTAACACTGTATTTTTTCCCCCCAAGAACTCTGACACTGATGCTAAATCAGGGGAGAGATTACATGGATGACCTTATCTCCTGTTCTTCCTAACAGTTTTGACAGCAACATTTTAATGCAAATATGGAAGGAAACATTCACAGCTCTCTGAGCAAACACACCAGTAGCTTGTTTGAATCTTTAAAAAAATGGAGGGGGGGGATGCCTCTTTGGTATGCTGCTGATTAATGAAGCTCTGCATAATCCATTACAATGTTCTGTCACTTCAGGAAGCTAAGCCAGAATAAACAGTTTGTGTTTGGGGTTTTTCCTGGCACAACGTGAGGCAAATGTGGTACCTCAGTTGCGACCTGCACAACCTCGATTTATTTTTGTGTTGAAATAAATTTAAATCCCTCAGTTTAAATGACTATAACTGTAAATTTAAAACGGTGGTGTGGTTTTCAAACATGCTCCAAGAGTCTTGTTGGGGAGATTTTTTTATTTATTTATTTTCTTTGACTAATATACACATAATTTTCCCATGTAACCTTATTTGTTACACAGAAGCAATTATTTTTACAGTTTGCTGTTGAAAAGAAATTAAATGAGGAATTTTTTTTTTGGAGACAATATTGAAGTTTATATAGACAGGTTGTTGTGATGTTTTGTGCAAATATCAAGAAAAAACAAGTAGAAAAATATTTTTTTAAGATTTGTGTGAGTTGTAAAAAAATGTCAATTTATGGAGGGGAAAAAAATTTCCTTTTTGCAGCATATGCTTGCTCTGGCAAAGTATCGACAGAATTTAAGCCTTTATAATTTCCGTGCAGGAAAACCCTTATGGTCTGGTTTTCTGGGTCATCGTGCCTCTTCACAAAGAGGATCAAAACCTGTTTTGTTTTTAGTTTTATTTATTTCTTTTCATTTAATCACACGCTGCACGCTATCGCAGCTTAAGTGAGAGCCTTCTGTCTCAAAGGCTGGCTCAGTGGCTGAGGTCGGCCAGTAAATAGTATTTAAGTTGGTAGTCTGTGATTAGTACCTTTGTTTTTGGGTCTTGGGGATTGTGACGCTCTTAGCACATAAGAGAGGAGGTTGTGTACGCCGCTTAACCCTCCTTCAACTGCTCCCAAACCCCCTTTCATTATTCTTATAGGCCTTTGTGTACAGACTGAATCCTGTTAGGATAAGACGGGGAGTTATCTGGGCTCGACTCCCCTCTTTTTGGCTGCCCTCGCTGGATGGAGGCCCTGGTGGAAAGGCGAGAAGAGAAGGAGAGGAACCGAGGGTTTGTGTGACTGTGTGTGTGCGTGCACGCGGGTGGGTGTGTGTGTTGTACAAGCCAGAGCCTTGTGGTGTTTTCCTCTGTTTGAATGAGCCAGACTGCTTGTGTTACCATAATCCTTTCTCTCTTTCTTCCTCTCTCCAAACACGTGCGCACACACACACACAAGTACACACAGTCACACACACGCCTGACAGCTGTGTTTGGTTAGGTAAATGCCTGTGGCTAACCCCCCTCCCATCCCACCCACTAGCTTCTTTTTTAGATTTGTCCCTCAACACCCCCATCAAAGCTTCCTACTGTTACAGTGTGCACCCCAGCCTATCTTATGCCCTGCTCCTGAAGATACAGTTCTGCAGTGCAGGAGACAGTCATTCACAGCTCTCCCTGGACCCCTTAAGATAGCCAATATTG